TCAACATAACACCTCGAGCCTCTTCTGAATTCACGGGTGTTGTCAAACACGCTTTGAAAGTTCGACTATAGAAATCAATTCCCCTTAGCGCCTTGCGCATCTTTAGAATTCAGGGGTGTTGTCGGACACGCTTTGAGCGCCCGCCTACAACAATCAATCATCCACAGTACCTCATGTGTCATCAGAATTCAGGGGGTGTTGTCGCACGCACTTTGAGCTCTCAACTACAACAATCAATTCCCCTAATGTGCCTTGTGCGTCTTCAGACTTTAGGGGAGCTATCATAGATGCTTTACACGTCTGACTACAATAACTAATTCCCCATGGGTGCTATATGAGATAATTTTCATGTCTGAATACATCATTCTAATACCCCTTGTCAAAAAAATACACGCTTTTACGTGTAGATGGAGCACCCCCCTCTGGATATAGCCAATCCAAGGGCGAGCGAGGTGAAACCTAAAGACGTCCACCTCGATCCGAGCTATCACCTCGGGGCAGGGAGGTGAATCCTTTACTTTTTATTGAGTAAGATCCTATGTGACGCGGAGCACAATTCAAAGCATGGTCGCATCTATCCTCTTTCAGGTCTTTCGTCTATAGTATAGTTTAAAACACAACCACAATTAATCGAACTCATGCCTTCTCCATGTAAACATGATTATTGAATATCCGCGTCTAGCGGGTTTAGCCTGAAATACTTATAAGTACAATCGAGAGCATAAACCCCAAACCGATCTCATGTTTCACCAATTCCGATCAGACATATGAACATATCAAAATGAATCAATGTTTCCTCTATGCATGCACGTTCTGAGTACAACCACACACTACTATCTTGGAATTCTATCAAGGCAATGTGTACACCTTAATGAAACACACCCTCAAGAGAGACAATCATACACGACCTCACAAAGACTTAAGGTTATTTACATTTTAAGCAAATATCAATTATTGCTCTCTTTAGAAAATAAATTATGCAAATTGTACAGTTCCAAAGCAATCTCTACCCTTCCTTGGATCCTAGTTTTCCTCAGACCCCAACCAAATAGTAACGATGATTAAAAAAGGAGAAATATCATATCAAAAAACAAAAGCACGCTAAAGGTAATAACTAAAATACATATATAAATATATTATTTACAAACTGAGACACCAAAGCCCAGCCAAATCTTATATGAAAAAGAAAACAAAGAAAGAAGAACAAAAAGCTCTCAGACGTCAACACTCAACTCTGAAGCTCCAAGACCACTTTCAGAGTCCTTTCCAGAAGTATCCGCTAAAGGATCCAATTGATCATCGGTGAAGGCAAGGTCAGGACAAAATTATCGTGCCTACTTCAACATTTCATCCTGAAACCTTCACACGACTTTTATAGCATATTGAATGAATTTCTGAGATTTCTTCCAAGAAACAACCAACTCTTCCTCGAGACCTTTCAAAGCACTGGCTCAATCTTCCTTCCTTTGTTGAAGACCTTTTTTATCTGCTTCAAATGCCCAACACGCTTCAACCACATCTTCAAAAAACTTCTTACAACGCCTCTCTCCATCAATAGGGAGACCTTCAACTTCTATATCGGAGTAGCCAAAATGGATGGTCGATCGTATCGATCTACCTCTTTCTGCAAAGAGTTAATAACATCCGCATTCGAAACCAGTTTAACCAATTCCTTCTAAACATCATAGTTTTTCCGCTCAAGGGCTTCACACCTCTCCCTCAGTTTATCTCGCTCCCTTGAAAGTTCGGCAGAGCCTAGAACACCATCTTGGCTAGTAGCTACCATACAAACAAGGGACCCGACCCTAAATAAAGTACAAGAAGAATTCACAAAAAGTCTTCACCTATCAATAACAGGCAAACCCCATACGAAATCCAAGTCTTTAGAGGCCACGCAAACAACAAATTTCTCTGGGGTGCTAGGCACCCGGGATCAAAGAATTGCAGAAAGTCAGAAGAAAGGAGTAAGAATCTCTTGCTCATCACCCTTCGACAAGTGAGTCCGTTTGAGATAACCTCTTTCAACAAGAGTAGACAAACTATCATCCCGGTCCCTCTTGGCAAGGAGAATGTGAGGGTTCCCAAGAAGAAAAATCAGTTCTCACAGTAGCCAACTGACCCACTTCAGGAGCTGGAACTGGCATAGTAGTTTCGACTACCTCATGGGCAACCACCACAGTAGGAATCTGAGCTTCTGGAGAAGAAGTAGAAGGAACAAAAGGTGCCACATGCACCCATCCGAATAAGCCAATTGTAAGGCTCTGATCATTTGCAAGCACCAGATCCTTCCGTAATTGACCTAACTGATCTATGTTATCTGCAAGTCACAATCGACATGATAAAAAAAGAGTGTCCAGATCCCCATCCTCACCAAAGAGCTTCCGTATCTTAAAAGGATCAGACACACTAATTTTCGCATGAGTATCTATGTGTATTTTCTTTTGCTAAAAGGAAGGTACTTCACCGAGATCATATTCTTCTTCATATCTTATCCCCTGATACCATATATGTAAACCCTTATTCATCTTTACTTCATTGGGAGACAAAAGGGTCAGACAAGAATGATAATAAGAAATAAACCGATGGAAATGAATTTTGGACTAGTACTTTTGAAAACTACCTTTGCAAGAGTGGAAATTTCCCATCAGTTCCAGATAGGCCTTAGAAGTGACGGGTTTCATCAGTATGAAACACTATAAGAAATCACCCCAATTGGAGGAAAAATAGATGAACCAAGGTACTTAAGGATGAAGGAAGATAAATCCTTGATCCCGAGCGTCATCCAAAGAAGTACGAGCTACAAAAAAAAGTCAAAGAAGAGCCTTACTGAAGGTTTCTAAGAATTATGCTCGGCACAAAGCCAGAACACCATCATGAAGGCCCAAGTGTCGGGATGAAGGCATGTGTATTCCCAACCCAGTGAAGAAAAACTCGTACAATGGACCCAAACAATCCTAGAAAAAGATGCACACCCTCTCATTCATACCTACTGGTAAAATCACCCAATTCGGGGGATTGCTAACTGTGATGTCGCCTTTCGTCACAACATCAATGATATTAAAGGCATAAGGAGTCCTAACTATTTTGGCGGCCACTCAATGGTAGTATTTTCATCGGTCGACTCTACTAATCAAAGACTCTTACGGGCCAACCGCAAGCTATATGATGGTCAACGAGACTGACCCAAGATACAACATCATGTTGCCCCTGGAAATTTCAGCATCACAGGGGTTATGACCAGTTACTTTCTGATATGTTTTGACAAAGTGACTGACACATTTCCTCCTTTGACGAGCGACCTTTATTTCTGTCTCAGTCAATATATGGGGAGGCATAAGTCTCTCGACAAGGTTTTCACCCCCGTCAGACTTCGCCGAGAATAGAGTCTCTAAAGAACACCTAGAAATAGCTTTATCTGAAAAAGATTCTCTCAACGAACCTTCCATCTTTGAGTCATCACTCCAAAGGATGAATTCTGACTCAAAATCCCCACTGACATAGGGAAAAGAATGTGATTCAGACTCCATTAATATTTTCAAAGACGAAGAAACACTACCCTCTGAGTCACTCTTAATGATAATATGATTACTATTCATTGTGATAAAAATGCGATAAACACTTGAGTAAAAGTTGAGGTAAAGAGAAGGTACCTCGAGATATGAAGGTGAAAGCACTAAAGCAAGGAAGAGGGTCGAAACTAAGCTTTAAAGTTTTGAAATTATGAACATGCTACGACAGTCACTCTAGAAGAAAAATGCTCTGAGATAATAGTGAATGACTTAAAGAGACAAGAGAAACACAGTCTACAAGATGACAAAAAAGTTTCTCCAAGATCTCTTTCCATTTTTATATAGACAAAGACAAACAAACAGATCAAATCAAAAGCAAGAAACAAGGATAAATCGGTGATCATAATTCATATGAGAAAGACAACCGTACTCGAGTGCATTAAGTCACATGTCAAAGAAAAAACGGCGAAATGTCTCAATAATAGGATTGCATTTAATGTTCACATCCCATCACGCATTGGCAAAATCAAAACGGAGCATGCCAGCTGACGCTTGGACGAACATTCTCAAAGGCCGACCCCGACTACTAAAAGATTCCCCTGACATCAAACATATCCGACGAGTCTTGGAGCAACTGTTTTGTGCCGGCCAAAAACTCAAAAGTTAGGACCCACTGCTCCACACCAACCAAAGATCCAATAACACGAGGTCCATTAACCAACCTGCCTCATCATCCCCAATATATAAATACCTTCACAAAAGATTTTCAGGAACACAATCTCTAATCTCCACTTTCACTACCACTATCTTGAATCTAAACCAACTTAAGTGTTGAAGTGCTAATCATACAGGGGTCCATCTAAATCTACAGTATCAAAGATAGCAAACACCGATCAACGACATTGCATCAAGACATATACCTTTAGTTCAAGAAACACCGTGCTCGCAAACTTCAATCCACGATATCATATCATCATAGTACCATGAAAACTTCACTCCACCGTAATTTCTATAACCATCACATTTCTAATTCCGCAACCGAAGAATCGTTTTTATTAAACAACCATATCTTCCTAAAAAGTTAATGTATCTTGATTAAACTCAAACTTTATTAATACCAAAATTACTATCGATATAGAAACATTAGTAGTGTGTGTTTAAATTAAATGATATATCGTATTTGTTTTTGTTAGAACGGAATATACCGGTATAAAATAATCGAAATCAATTTCTAGAGGGATAACATAAATATGAAAGGTAAATTATAACCACAAAAAAATAAAATAATAAAAATGAATCTGATAGACACACGATAGATACACCCATAGATACACACACATCACAGTCCCGGGAGAATGAAAGTTAAGATAGAAAGAAGAACAACAACAAATAAGCACTTTCATGAATAATCGATTATCAATTCAGTTCTTCTTCTCGTAACTAATTCTCACTTCTATAATTGAGAATTAGTTTGATTAATCAATTATTATCATGCGCACTCTCTCATTCCCATCACCATGTCTATCTTCTTCTTCTTCTTCTTATTGTTCTCTTCACATCAACAATTCCAATTCCACGTTCAATAATCGCTTATTCTCTTTTCCAATTTCTTCTTCTATCTTACTAACACCGCATTCTTCTCTCAAACAGACCAAAAAACAATCTACTAAGACCAATAACACTACTCCGTCTCGGTTAAAGCTTTTGTTTAACCCCAAAGGGGAAGAGGATAAGAGTGATGGTAACAAGAATAAAAGTAGAAAATCTGAATCTGATAAAGGGGAGGAGGAGAATGATGCTACTGCTTTGAAGGGTACAATTTTGGCCGGTGTTTTGCTAATTGGCTTTGTTGGGGGTTTTGCTTCGGTTGGTTATTTCTATAGAGAACCTATTAATGTTTTCTTGACTCAGTTCTCTGGCTTCATTGAAGGTTCTGTTTTTTTTTTCTTCTTCTTCTTATAGGTTATACTATGTTGCATGCCCTTTTTTTCGCTTTATTTATACTTAGGTTACATTTGGGAGTGTTTATTTCAGTTTATCTTATCATATAAGCACTTATGCAAGTACACTTAGCCTGTTAAGATAATTGGTTTAGTTAATTATTTATGGGATAACATTAGTGTTTATGTATAAACTATTTCTATGGTAAAAAAAAGTTCATGTTGTTCTTATAAGCTATCCTGCAAAGCTTATCAAAATACGCACTTGGGAGACTGTTTAAGAGAATTTATGGAAATAATGTCCATGAAAAGTTTTTAGGTTATTTTTATAAGTTAGGTAGTTGAAATGGAAAACAACTTTTATAGGTTATTGAATTTATTTTACCTTTTATTCAAGTTGTGTAGTTGAAATGGAGAAGGACTTCAGGTGTATTATGTGACGCTAATGCACCACTCAAGTTGAAGGGAAAATTTTATTGGACTGCGGTAAGACCTGCGATGCTATACGGGACAGAATGTTGGACGGTTAAGAATCAACGCGAGAATAAAATAAGTGTAGTAGAGATGATGATGTTGCGGTGGATGTGTGGTAAGAATCGACAAGATAAGATTAGAAATGAAAATATTAGAGAGTGTTGGGATAACACCTATAGTAGAGAAGATGGTAGAAAATATATTTGGGTGGTTTGGGGATGTAGAGAGAAGGATTGTAGATTCCGTGGCAAGGAACATCGACCAGATGGAGAGAAGTCAAATAACTATAGGAAGAGGAAGACTTCGAAAGACTATTATAGAAGTTATTAAGAAAGATCTCGAAATTAATGATTTGAATAGAAGGTGGAATAAGGTTTGATTGTTGTTATTGAACTTATTTTACCCACTGGATCTTAAACGAGGCTCTGATACCATATTAAGATGTGGTTGGACCTAATTCAACCCTACAAAACCGGCTTGTAGGGTGAGGATTGTCCCCACTTATAAACACATGTTCAGGCCATATATTGTCCGATGTGGGACTCTTAACACACCCCCTTTTTTTTATTTTTTTATTTATTTTTTTATTTTTATTTTTATTTTATTTTTTTCATGGAAAGTTGTCAAGATTCTCATAATAAACATTTGAAAGTATAATGGAAAACTAAGTTAACTCCTTAAGAACCATTAGTAGAGAAGCAATCCTCTCATGTCACATAACAAAATACAAGAGGGAAAGATATATAACAATTTACAAACAGATTAATATTTTTGAGAAGATATATGCTCCAAAATTTCATGTTCAACTGAGTCCTCTTGGCCCTTAACTTTCAATCCAAGTTATTGAGTAAGAGGAACACACTCAAGCTCAATCTCAAGAACACCTCTTTCAACATTCTGTAGTCTCACTGAGATTTCTTGTTTGATCCTCCCTTCATCAAGAGATATCACACCATCTCTAACAAGAGAGTTGTCCCTGCTTGCTACAAATTTCTCTAGTTGCATTGACTGGTTCACTGTAGATTTTTCATATGCAATTGCAGCTAAAACTAGTGGGACTCTTAACACAAACAGTGGTGCTTATGCCATTGGGTAAGCCTATAAAAGTTGTTCCGAATCATTAGTAAATCCAAATGCAGCCTTATTCAAGGGTTTGTAAGAATTTACATAAATGAATGTATAATGGACTGTGTTTGGTTTTAATGAGAATCTTAATAACTGAAAATGTTGAGTTATCTATGCCCAAAATTGACAATAAAGGGGAGTTTACCAAAATGATGAAAGGATATTCACTGTCTGATAAGCTCGCAGAAATAGTTTGTGTACTATGTAGTCATATGCATATTATGACATAAAACTATTATGTAAACACTCTTTTCAAAGAGTTTAGAAGAGCTTATAGAAATGAATTATGATAAGTTCACAAACTTAGTTTATTTTCAAAAGCTCTTAAGAGATAGCTGGTGAGTGTTATGGGCTTATGCAAAGTTTACCCTTATTCTTCCTTGAGTGTAGAAACAACTCATACATAACTTTTAAATTACATAAGTGTTTAATTAAGCTGTTTATCATCACATCATCTAATTTTCTATGTGTTCTTTTGACAAGCAGGTTATGGTTCAGCTGGGTATGCATTGTTTGTAGCTGTTTATGCTGGATTGGAGGTATCAAGGCATCTATCACTTTTCCTTATTTTCAATACTGCATCGCTCATAGTATATCTACAATGTGATATATTTTGCCGCAACTAAGGTAGCATTTGAAGGACAGAACATATACTTACCATTTTGTCTTCAGCATATGTTATAAGTAAAACCAGACATGAAATAAAGTGAAACAGTACATTTTGGCTCATTTTAAGAAGCTAGAATCAAAGGAGTGCATAGAAGAATAGGCTGTTCTATCACTGTGCCAAATGCTTCTACGTATTATTAATCTCCATATTCACATTTTTACTCTCTTCTCTCTCAAGCATATGCTTTTTCCTTGCTATAGTTGTTTTGTTTCAATCTAACTTTACTTTATTGAATGTTGTCCCAGATCCTTGCAATTCCTGCCATTCCCTTAACCATGTCAGCTGGACTTCTTTTTGGATCTGTTACTGGCACTATCATAGTCTCTATCAGTGGAACAGTGAGTCAATTTCTTCATATTCTATTTAAAATTGTGCGTGTATGGCTGAATCTAATATTTTAAGGTATTGTAGGTGGCGGCTAGTGTTGCTTTTCTAATTGCAAGATATTTTGCTCGCGAGCGCATTCTAAAACTAGTGGAAGGAAACAAGAAGTTTCTTGCTATTGACAAAGCAATCGGAGAGAATGGCTTCAAGGTTGTGACCCTGCTTCGTTTGAGCCCGTTGCTGCCATTTTCTTTGGGGAATTATTTATATGGATTGACATCTGTAAAGTTTCTTCCGTATGTATTGGGAAGGTATGGTGCTTATTACTGATGAATACTAATTTCTATTGTCTTTTCGTAACTCGAAACCATTCAATTTTAGAAAGAGCGTTTTATATTTCAAAATAAGTTATAGAATTTATATGTTGCCCGGAATTCTTTGGGTAATTCATGCCAAAAGTAGAATTTATATGTTAACCTCTTGAGCATAAGTTGACTCTAAATTTTGATGTGCAATATCTACAGCTTCATCTTAATTCATAATAGAGTTTTTGTCATTTTGAAATATCATTAATTAGTTGCAGCAAATTATGACTATAATAAAATGCAGTTAAGAATGAAACTGAGAATATTGATGTTAAGTAGTATTAAGATGTGGTTGGGTCTAATTCAACCCTATAAAACCGGCTTGTAAGGTGAGGATTACTCCCACTTATAAAGTCATGAATGTGAGACTCTTAACACCCCCTCTCACGTTCAGGAATTAGGGCTGGAGCGTGGAACTAAATGGTGGGTGGCCCAATGGATCTTAGATGTGTGGGTTGAGCCTAACTCGACCCTACAAAACCGGCTTAAAAACCGGCTTATAAGGTGAAGATTACTCTCACTTATAAAGTCATGTTCAGGCCATATATTGTTCGATATGAGACTCTTAACACCCCCTCTCACGCCCAGGAATTAGGGCCGGAGCGTGGAACTAAATGGTGGGTGGGTCAATGGATCTTAGATGAGGCTCTGATACCATATTAAGACGTGGTTGGGTCTAATTCAACCCTACAAAACTGGCTTGTAAGGTGAGGATTACTCCCACTTATAAAGTCATGTTCAAGTAGTATATCTAATTGGAATTGTACAGTTTAATTCAATGTTATCAATTGCAGATGGCGAGAAATAGTGGTTTGTTCAAATTCTGTTGCATCACAGAGCTATAGAGCTACAATAGCCACTACTTGACAATACTTTGTATTAAATAGCGTATCGGTGGAACAATAGCGACTTGTTCAAATTCCGCTACACAATAGCGTTGCTAACTTGCTATAGCTGCTATTTGACATCATTGGTTTATTTTTTTAATTTTGTTTGAAAATGTACAATTTACTTTCTGATTTAAAGACATAATTGCAGTTGGTTGGGGATGCTTCCAGGAACATGGGCTTATGTTAGTGCAGGTGCTTTTGGAAGAGCAATAATCGTGAGTTTGTACTTCCTTTTGCCCCAAACTTTTTTCTATGCTCGATGTGTTGGCTATTCAATCATTATTAGAACTTTTCGGCCCTCCATTAGCTTCATATACCTTTTCCCCCTTTTTTTACATCCTTTCTATGTGTGTTTTGTGATTGAAGTATGAGATGGTGATAAAGGAAAAGTTGATGATGCTGAAGACATGTTGTCATTACTGTTTCTTTGAAAACTTTTTGGCCTTTTATACGAATGAAAGTGAATGCTGTTGGTATATCATTACAATGAAATGCTCTTTATAGGCTTGCTAGAGGCAGAGAAAGAAAGAAGAGAGACTTGGAGTTGCCTAAGTTAATGTATTAAGGAAGAGGATGATAAAATTTTGGTTATGATTGGAGTATGATATTAAAGAGAGATGAAAGGATTATTACTCTCACAAATTAATTTAATGACAGATATGAAATTTTATCGCGAGGATCAAAATTATACCTTTTATAGTAGACTGCGTTGCATAGGTATGGGTTATGATAGGGATCGGAAATTAAGATGAATAGAAAACATAATATTACTGATCCCTATAATCCCAGAGCTATTGCTCCTCAGTCAGAGAAAACAATTCCCTCACTGCCCCAAACCCCTAATATGAAAAACAGAAAATATAAGATACCTAAATACTGCCCCCCGTACACTCCTATATTTATATGAGGAATACTAACTGAGCCGACTCCTATTTATTTAATTTGGACTAAGGCCCAACCCAATATCCTAACATTATCGACAACCAGAAATACAACCTTGTCCTCAAAGTTGAAATGAGAAAATGTCCTTCAACATATAACAATGGCATGCCAATACTTCCCCAGCAAGGTACTGGTGGGTCTAAAACAAGACCAAATCCGTACTTCCGCAAACCACAAAACCATACTTGGGGTTTATTTTCTTGAAACAGTGCAACAACACTACTGTAGCTTTTGCATCTCTCTGGATCCCATTGTTGAGAACTTGATAGGCTGACTTCAAACAATCGAACTTGTTGCACATCTTCATTCTTACTATCTCTTGATGACAGTCTGCAACTTTTCTCTTTAAAACCCCAAGGGTGTGTTTGTTTGAGGGATTAAAATTACAATCCCAGGAATCTCATTCCTAGGAATATTAATGCTTGAAACTTCATTCCCATTCATTTGTTTGGTAAGTTATTAAGGTTCCTAGGAATATTTTTAAATTTTATTTTATTTATAATTTTAAAATTTTAAAATATAAAAAAAATATGTTAAAATAATATAGAAGTAGGTAGTTATAGGTCGTTATTTTTTATTCCCATGGGAATATAAGATTCTCACCCTTTGTCTTGGGAATAAATATTTAAACTTTCATGAACAAGTGATATTCCTTGGAATAAAAAGTTCTTGGGAATAATTTATGAAAACTTCAAACGAACATAGGAATATAGAATTCCTAACCTCACATTCCTGGGAATACAATTTGTATCCATGAAACAAACACCCCCTAGAAGCTTGGGCATAATCAATTGTATCAACGGTTGTGTCTTTTACAATTCCAAGGAAATTGACCAAGCTATTTACTATATCTTGAATTAAAACTATCTTCAAGGTAGGCCATTCAAAATTCTTACCAAATAACCATGCAAGAAGATTAAGTGAAATCCTTGTTTTCCAATTTATCGAGGAGACAAAAAGATATGAAAATAACCAGGTTAAGAGAAAAAAATTTGAGAAGTTAAGCCCAAGAGCTCTATTTCATCCCACTCTGTAAATGCCTTGATAAGCAAACAAATATTAACTTGGTCTTGATTTATTAGATTTAAAGAGATCCCAACCTCCTTAATTGTCCATTTTGCCCCTAATTTTTCTAGAATACTCTTCAGTTTTGAAATTACTGTTTTTACCATTACCTTTGAAATTGCCCCTTTTGCCCTAAACTTTTCTAGATCCTTCCCACCTTCAGCAACGATGATGCACCCTAAACTGATATTGTAACCTGCATACAGCGGATCTTGAGGCGGCAGCCGCTTGCGCATGCGACGCCTCATCTTTTTCATCTCTCCTCTCTTCTCCAGTCTTTCTCCGCCCACGGATTCACTGAGATCCGGTGACTTGGCCCGCGATTTTTGCTTTGGAAGGTGCTTCATGACTGAACCGGTGTCCGGTGTTCCCGGTGGCAGTGTGAGAGCAACTAGAATCTGATTTTCTTGCTTCTTCTTGGCTTGGATCAGATGTAGAGACTCCATCCATAATTTCCACGTATCTGGTGGTTTAGAATCAGGAAGGACCCTCATCCAACAAGATCTAACCAGTGAGGACACAGTCAAAGACTTCTGAGATGGAGGTGATGCCGGTGACTCTAAAACCCAAACAGTTTGTGACCTCATTTTCTTCTCTGGCTTCTCAGACACAAGGATCACATCTTTGCAGGCCACCTCCGTTTCCTTCTTCTCTGTTGCTTCTACCTTTGCCGACTATGCATCTATTTGAAATTCTGTTCTGCGGTGCTCTTTCATAACATCTGTTATTGAAATTCTCTGTGGAAATATGCCTCGAATGTTTCGCCATCTCTTTTTGCAGTAATTGACGAAACTCCAACTTAAAGGATTTTACAGATTCTTCCAATCTCCCCATTCTCAACTCAATTGCGTCAATTCTCTCAACCATTCCTTTTCCAACACTTCTTCCACACTCATCTTGAATGACACGAACACTGGCACCCCCTCGATCATCCGGCAGGTCGGACCAATGATAGGGATAAAAAATTAAGATGAATAGAAAATGTAATATTGATTCAATTAAGAAACTATTACAGAGACTGATCCCTATAATCCCAGAGCTACTGCTCCTCAGTCAGAGAAAACAATTCCCTCACTGCCCCAAACCCTAATATGAAAAACAGAAAATAATAAGATACCTACACTCCTATTTATATGAGGAATACTAACTGAGTCAGAGAAAACAATTCCCTCACTGCCCCAAACCATAATATGAAAAACAGAAAATAATAAGATACCTACACTCCTATTTATATGAGGAATACTAACTGAGCCGACTCCTATTTATTTAGTTTGGACTAAGGCCCAACCCAATATCCTAACAGGTACGTACCCAGTATCCAATACGGGTACCGGTACGGAGTACGACATTTATAAAAAAATTAAGGTATGGGTACGTTAGTATAATTTTTTAAAGATATAATTATAAAAATAACAAAGAAATTATATTATTTAAATAACAACAAAACATTAAATTAAAAAACAATTTGCTTAAAAAAAGTTAATATTTACGCAATAACATTACTAAATCACACTTAAAAAGTATCAATAGATCATTAAATCACGATTGAATGTTAATATTTTCTTCTCCAATATCATTAAAATGAGCGGCTTCTAGTTCAGGTTCATCGAGAGAAAGATTAGTAACTTCAAGAATACCAACTCTATCAAATAGATCACGTTCATCTCCATCAATATCCCACATTTTTGTTGCTCCTTCATTATAAACCTTACTCTTTCTCGAGAGAAGACGGAGATTTGTGTGAACAAAACTAAATCTTCAGCCCTATTTGTGTTGAGTTTATTTCTTTTCAATGAGTGAATAAATCTATACGTGTTCCGATTTCTCTCAGCAGAATATGAAGAATTTGATTGTGAAAGAAGTTTCAATGCAATAGATTGTAGTTTAGGGATTGAAGATCCATAAATTACCCACCATTCCTTGGTTTCAAATTCCCCCATCCGAAATTTTTTTTCAAAAATTGGGTACGTGGTACCACATGTGAACCAACTTAAAAAAAAATTGGTACAGCTTCGGTGCGTACCGTACGCGTACCAATACCCAGTACGAACCTAGTACCAGTACTTTACTTAAAATAGAGTACCCGCACTTCACTTAGATTTCAAGAGCATGAGGTGAAAGAAGATTGGAGAGTGATGGGTCATACAATATACCTGTTGATACTATGAAATTATAGAAAAAATTTATATTGAGCAGATACAGAAGAAGAAAAATCAAAATTAATGATCATAAATTTGGTTATGCCTGGAAGGTTGACCGCGGAAACAATTTATTTGTGAATTGTGATGACAAGTGATGGAGTAATATCATAAGAATATAAAATAGTTGGACGTGATTTTCATTGGTATGGAAAAGGCATAGGGTAGCGTGCCAAGAGAAGGTTTGCGGAAATCCCTTGAAAAGAAAGATTACGTATATTCAGGATGTAAAAATAGGTATATGAGGGGCCATGAAGGTTTTCAGATTACTATAGGACTGCACCTGGGTCAACTTTAAGCCCCTATAATTTATCGTAGTCTTAGATGTACTCATGGAGCACATTCAAGAGCCAGCACCGCCATGCATGCTTTTTGCAAATACTATAGTTCTAAAAGGAAAGTCGAAAGAGGAAATAAATGGGAGGTTAGAGATTTGGAGACAAGTTTTAGAAACACACAGCTTCCATTTGAGTAGAAGTAAGACAAAGCATGCGGATTATAAGTATAGCAAAAGAAGAAACAACCCTAGCTTAAAGGTGAAAGTTGGAGCTCTTACCATACCACAAGTCACACGGTTAAAATATCTCAGGTCAATTGTCAAAACCGCTGACAAATAGGGATGTAAACCAAGTGAAGGGTGAGTTGCCTCTTGGAACTGGAATTTCAACCTGAATTTGATGCTGAGCTTGACTCAGTGTTGGGGCAGAGAAGCATTATGATAGAACCCGGGAAATCAAGAAAAGAAACAGTATATTATTGAATGGAAATTGGTGAGCTCGAGGCTCTACAACGGTGAAAATGACACAAGAAAAAGTAAACCAGAGTTCTCCTAAACCAGAGCTAGGCTCCTAAGCCAGAGAGAATTCCCTCCTAACAGTTTTCTAACAAACTTTATCGATGCCTAATCATTTCCCTCCGTTTTCTTTTATAACAGAAAATCCCTTAAAATCAGGGAATGCTCTAACTGAATATTATTCTTACAGCTTCTAGAAGCTGTGCTGATGTGGATTGACCTCATTGATCGTGTCATCGCACATATCAGAACTCAGAATCCTATCACATTACAATGCCATTGGCTTGGGCTGATCAACTATTCTATCAGTTTATTATTTTCTTTTGTTTCCCTGTTATCAACTAGCAGCAGCCATTGTTGTCATTGTTTCTTATACAATTCAGCAAGGCTTGATTGATGTCGATCAAAATTACTCCCTCCGTCAAGTGTCATATTTAGAATATTTGTTTGTCTCATTGTTTTTCATTTTCGATTACCAATTAAACAGACTTTTTTATACTAATAGACTTTTTTTTATTGTATCTCAACACACCTAACTACTCAACTAACTACCATGAAAGACCAATTCTCAACTGGACCTTGCTATACCAACCCTAGTTTTAATCATGAATATTTGGAAACTTCATTGATTGCCTCTCTAATGTTACTGCTGCTTCTACCTTTCAGCAAGAAGAATCTGAACTTAGTGCACTAGGAGGAAACAATCAGCTACTGACCCTTGGGCTTGGACTATTCGTCACCGCATTAGCTGCTACATACGTCACGAAACTTGCAAAGGTATTATGTTGTTATCCATGGCCTAATTAAATAACATGTATTTATTTTTTGTAATTTAATATGGGATACCAAACAAAGTCAAACTTTACCCTCATAGTGCATTGATATCAGACTCACTAGTAACTCATCGACACTTCATGTCATTGTAATGCAGGATGCTGTCAAAGACATCGACGACTAGACCTGGTAGAGGGGAGTAGAGGCAACCTATGCGCATTTGCGAATGAGGACAGGCAGGTCCATATGACTGGATTGGGGAACTGATATCTGAGTAAATAAAAAAAAAGAATGGTAGATGAAAGAGAACCAAGAAAAATGGTAGACCCAACATGCCCCTTGTAAATTACAATATTCTTATTGATGAGAATTTGGTAGGATCATTTTGTTCCTTTTGCATAGCTCTCCCTTAAATTGAAACAATGTTGCAATTCTAGTGTAAGTGGTGGTTAGTCTCACGTTGGTTAGAAATATCTTTATGCTTTGGCTGAAGATGTGGTTAGTCTCATGTATTACTTTTCTCAATAAATTGTTTTTAATTTTATATTATTCTTCTGTTTTTAAATTTAAATGTAAGTACTTTTATCTTTTTTGATTGTGTTTATGGCTATATTGGACCAAATCTAAATGTATTTGGACAAAAATTGTTGGAAATTCCAACTTCATTTGTCCTTAATTGTTTAAATTGCGATTTTTGACTTGCCTTTATTGCTTTTATTTCAGCCTCTAACATTTTCATTTTGTTGGATTTAAAAGAGTGGGTTTAGTTTTATGTTGCTTAGAGACATGTGTTGTGTTTATAAATGAGGGTTTGAAGGATTGAATTAGACTGGAATAATAAGCTTTTACTAAGATTGAAGATTCTTTGATGTTGAGCAATTTTAAACCAATTTCATGATTATGCAAATAAAACTTAGACTTGCTTTTTTATAAAATGAAATAAATAAATTCTTATTCTAAAAGCCTCTGAAGTTCTTGTTGTGCTAAGATATAGTAAATGTTTAAAAGAACAAAAAGTCAACTAGTAAAGATTAGTGCACAAAGTTAAGAACAAAAGGAATAAAAATATATTTATGAGCAGAAAAGGAATGATAATATATTTACGAGGACAAAAGGAATGATGGTTATAAGGCTGTAAGAAGGAATTAAATTATTACAAATGACAGTTACAACTAGTTTATTTATACGTAAAATAAACTATCATGTAGACTCTAACAAAAGGTAAACTTAATAACTAAGCAAATTAAATTTAATAACTAAGTAAATAAAATAACGAGAATCCTAAAACTTAAACATACTGGACGTAATCTCAGAAGCTTCTGCTTCTTACTAACAACCTCAAGCTCTACTGCTTCTGATATGAATTACTTCCAACACCATTCCTTAATTCATATTCAGCTAACCAAAAAACTATATCTCAATTTCATCCCTCAAACAGATAAAGTGTTTGACATCCTTCGTCAGAACACCTGCAAGTTATTTTTGGTTGCTACAGTGTGCAACTTCTAATACTCCATTTAGAAATGCAGATTTCTCCTTGAAAATTCATTTGACGCCGATGGCTTTTTTCTCTTTTGGAAGCTCAGTTTAACTCTCAAGTCTTGTTTCTTTGTGGTATTTAGACTTGTTCAGAATCTCCTTCTGGACTTTCTTCAGAAGTTCGACTACCACCAGAAGCTCCACCTTTGTTAACTTTTGAATTTTATTCAGAACCACTACCTTCAAAAGTACCACATTTAAAAGTTGGATCACCTTCAAAAGTTTTGCCTTCAAAAATTCCTTCTTTAGAATCATGACCACAATTAGAGACTGGACTACTTTCAGAAGCTCCTCCTTCAGAAAATCTACCTTCAGAGTCATGATTACCGCCAGAAACATGATCATCTCTAGAAGTTTGTCCTCTAGAATCAACGTCTTCAGAGTTTTCCTTTTCAAAAGCATGATCACCACCAGATTTAAAATCTGAATCAGAATCAGATTCACCATCCGACTCATCTTCAGAGTCTCTAGAAGATTCTTCATCTTCTGATTCTGACTCAGCTTTAGAACTTTCAAGTTCGGACTCATCTTCAGAATCAGAATCTCCTTCAGATTCCTACGCATCTTCTGATTCTTCTTCAGACTCATAAGCACCTTCAGATTCTGAATTGTCTTCAGCTTCAGAGTCATCTTCTAACTCTGACTCATCTTCACAAATCTCAGATTTGGACTCATCTTCAGAATCTTCAGATTCATCTTCTAATTCTGACTCATTTTCAAACACTCTAAAGTCAAAATGTTCAGAGTCGTCTTCTTCTCCTTCAGAATCAGAAAATGACAATCGCACTGGTTTCTCATCAGATTCATAAGCCATCAATAACACAGTTTCATAATCTGAATCTCCTATGGCTATTTTTGCTTCTTCTTTGTTTGATCAACAATCTTTAGCAAAGTGACCAAACCTATTACAACAGTAAAACTGAACCATTCTCTTATCACACTTCTTCTTTCCCTTCTGATATTTCTTCTCATCAGAATAGAAGACTTCTGACTTCTGAGACCTACCACATTTTTTCTGCTTCTGATCCTTCTTGACTAAATAAGCCTTCAGAGCCTGCTCAACTTCTCCTTCAGAAGTTCTCTCAGTCAGACGCAACTCTTGTGCCTATAGACTACTTTGCAGCTCTTCTATTCTCATGGTGTCCAGATCTTTAGAATGTTCAATTGTTACAACAATGTAATCAAATTGAGGAGTAAGAGACCTCAATATTTTTTCAATAATTATTTGTTTAGAAAGAGTTTTTCCACAAGCTTTCATCTTATTAGTGATCAGAATCACTCTGGAGATGTACTCAAAAACTTTCTCGTTGTTCTTCATGTTGAGAGTTTCATACTGCTTTCACAGGGACTAAAGCTTCACCTTCTTCACTGATGCGTCACCACTGTAATATTTGACCAGTGTGTCCCACACATCCTTCACCATCGTCAAATCAGCAATTTTATCAAACATGTTCACATACACTAATGAATGTAGAACAACGCCTTCTGATTTTTCTTCCTTTTGTCTCTATGCGTGCTTCTATGTTCTTCCGTAACATCTGATACAACTGGAACATAATCTTCGATAACAAGCTCAAGAACATCTTGAGTATCGAATAACACGCGCATCTGAATCATCCATCTATTCTAGTTTTTGCCATAAAAAACAAAAAGTTTGGTGCTCAGATTACTGTTTTCGTTCATCTTCAACCTTGTACAAAACTCTCAGATCTTAGTAAACATAGTGTTTCTCAATCCTGCAAAATCAGAAAATGTGATTCTGTTACGATTTTGTTTAAGATTCAAACACAAATTCAAGAATCAAAATCAATCACACAATGCCTCACCGTTTCACTCGTGTTTCCCGTATTTCCCTATGGATCCGAACCAGAATTCTAGATACCAATTGTTAGTGCACAAAGTTAAGAACAAAAGGAATGAAAATATATTTATGAGAACAAAAGGAATGACAATATATTTATGAGAACAAAAGGAATAACGACTGTAAAGTTGTAAGGAGGAATTAAATTATTACAAATGACAACTACCACTAGTCTATTTATACACAAAGTAAATTGCCACGTAGGCCCTAACAAAATATAAACTTAATAACTAAGCAAACTAAACTTAATAACTAAGTAAAAAAAATTAGAATCCCAGAAGTTAAACATACTTCTAGGCGTAACCTCAGAAGCTTCTGCTTCTGACTAACAACCTCAGAAGCTCTATTGCTTCTGAGCAACACTGCTTTTGACTTTAGCAATTTCTGAATATGAATTATTTCAAACAGTAACAAAATAACTTAAAAATTAATTAAATTTGTATTTTTATTTAAACAAATTTTAGGGGCTGTTTGTTTCCAAAGAGAAAGACGAATTTTTTTGTGAAAAGAGAGTATGAGAAGAGACGAAAAAAGTTGTGAAGAGAGAATGAGAAGAAGTGTTCCATCACTATTATTTGGTTTGTTAAAAAAAGAGAAGAGAGATTAAAATTAAGTGGTCTCCACATGTAAGAGAAATTAACATCCCACCTCCTAAATTATATATGTTATTATCTATATTTCATTATTCTAAAAAATTTACATATGTCAATTTTTTTGTACTATTGGTCAAAGTGGGTCAAAACAAAATTTCCGGTACGCTGGTCAAATTTTTGATACCTTAATTTTGGCGTATACCAGAAATACTTTGCATTGCGCAAATTTCCGGTTGTGAAAAATTGGAAATTTCTAAATTTTCGGGTGTGATTTACAAGTTTCAAAATTTCCGGGACGATTTCCAAAAGCCATTGTATAAATCAGAAATTACGCAAATTTCTGAAAGATAACGTAACATTGGAAATTTCAAATTTTCGTATAACCAGAAATTTCAGTTATGTATGAAATTTCCGATATGCATGCAAATGAAATTTTATATATTTGCGGTTCAGAGCCGACAACTTCAGCTTCTTCTATGGATTCATGTACTGATGTTACGCAGTTCTTCACCACATATACTATATGTCTTCTATTGAATTTACATATTATTATTTGTTTGTCGACCTTAAATAAATTGATGAAGTTTATTAATTATATGTTGCTGTAATTGGCAGATCTTTAAATCCCGATCTAAAGTTCTAGAATAGGCACAGTCTATTGGTAAAAAGCATGATATTGATGTTGTTACAATTTGTTACGATTCGGCTAATGGAATACGAGGGAGGAAGGATAAATTGATTATTGGTTGTGATAGAGGAGGAAATTTCAAAAGAAAAAAGGAATCCGGGTCCACCTCTGATGACATATATACTATGAAAGTTAAATGCCCTTTTAGGCTGAGATCTGTTCTAAGTGGTATCAGCTGAAAGGTGATGGTTAGATGCGGGATGCATAATCATAGACTAGATAAGGGCTTGGACGACCATGACATACTAGGACATCTAAAATATCATGAAAAAAGCTTGTGAATGACATGACAAAGTACAATATGGCACCAAGGTACATCATTTTTGCTTTAAAAGACAAAAATCCATAAAACCTCACGAGTATTACCCAGGTATATAGAGCTAGAGCAACATACATATTTAGAAAGATAGGTGCAATGACTGAGATGAAAATTTTATTGAACCTTATTCGCCAAGATAAATACATGTGTTGGACTAGAAATAGGGAGAATTCGAAAATTGTGG